TAACCTCTCCTCGTAGCTCTTGCCCTTCAGTTCTGGGAGCCACTTAGTAGCATGTCTTTGCGCCTTTTCCAGTTTGTTGATGTGCTTCTTAAGATATGGGCACCACACAACAGCTGCATATTCTAGCTTTGGCCTAACAAAAGTCATGAACAATTTCTTTAGTATATCGCCATCCATGTATTTAAATGCAATTCTGAAGTTAGAAAGCATAGCATAGGCTCCTTGCACAATATTCTTTATGTGGTCCTCAGGTGATAGTTTTCTATCTAGAACCACTCCTAGATCTCTTTCTTTATCAGAATTCTTTAAAGATTTCTCACATAATATATAGGTTGTGTGGGGTCTATGTTCTCCTATTCCACATTCCATAACATGACATTTATTAACATTAAATTCCATTTGCCAAGTGGTGCTCCATATACTTATTTTGTCCAGGTCTTCTTGAAGGGCATGACAGTCATCTAAATTTCTTATCCTTCCTATTATCTTAGCATCATCAGCAAACATGTTCATATAATTCTGTATACCAACTGGTAGATCATTTATGTACACAATAAACATCACTGGTGCAAGAACTGAACCCTGTGGTACTCCACTTGTGACATTTCTCCATTCTGATACATTGCCTCTGATTACTGCCCTCATTTTTCTATCAGTCAGAAAATTTTTCATCCATGATAGAAGCTTACCTGTCACCCCTCCAATATTTTCCAGTTTCCAGAACAACCTCTTATAAATATATATATGTGTGTCACCCTAGGTGCATGCTGTTCCTGTACTCCAAGACACCTGGCCAGCACACCACACAGATGGAACAGCCACACAGGTGAAAAATCCAGAACAGGAACTTAAGGCCAGAGGTGACTGATCTGACCACCAGCACATCAGTTCAAGAACTGAAGTGGTGGGTTGCAGGCTACCCCACCTACCCATATGGGGGGGATAATGCTTAAAAAGTGAGTGATAGTTGCATGAAATGTTTCTTGTTTGGTTTCTTTCTAGGGGAAGTTATTTTGATCTTTTAAAATGTAAATTGCATAGGGTAACCAGACAGTGGTCTGTTTTGATTTGCCTTCCTTTCTGGGTTCTTTCCTGGTCGATGGCAATTATGACATACTTTAAATGTGAAGTGTTCATAGGCCGTTGCTCCCTGTGCCTCTCTGAGGGGACCAGGTTTTGGCTCATGGGTCCTGGTAGGCAAAAGGACTTCTGTGACTGATGACCCTAAACTAATATACCATATATCAGTTCGGATAGCTTCGTCAGTAGTCTCAAAGTGTTAAACGACAGAGTACTGAGAAGACGGGACACCACGAGCATAGCTCTCATCCTGTAACTACGCATAGGTAATTACATTTTGCTATGACCAGTTACAAAACTGCTGTTATTACAACATTCCTCTCACAAAACCCCAAATATAAATCCATTTCCACAAGGTTATATTGTGAAGGAACATGAGGGAATTTCATGATGCATAGGTGCAGGAAACAATGGCTGGGTGCTGTCTCTCTACCTCATGTTGTGAATATCATACCTAACATTGTGTTCACTGATATCTGAACATTATACGCAGTCTTTATCACAGTCAGGATCATCTATAACACTATCGATGCAAAATAATTAGTTACCTATTTTATTCATCATTACTGAGTGGTGCTGTAGCCTCCTAGCTTCACAGTGGTGCTGTGAGCCACTCCTGCATGTGCCAGCCTTGGTTGCTATCTCAGTACCGAGAGCCCTCACAGCCAGCACGGATGCTAATGATTTTTTTGTCACGATAGCTTCTGTTTACTGGAGTCCTGAGCCACAGGACTCAAGACTAGCTCTGTGTACCCACGAGAGTTTTGAATCCTTCCCTATACCTAAAAGTGCCATATGGCACTGCACACCCCAATCAGGCACCTTAAGGCACTCTGTGCAGTGGTTAAGAAATGCACCATGAACTTCATTAAATGCACCACATGCTTTATTAAATGCACTTTACTATTAAAACAATGGCACAAATCATATTATAGTAAATGCTTTTGGTCTAATTGCACAGTGCATATTTTATATTTTTCTATGTTTTAAAGACTGCCTAAGATTTAAAAGTCCCGTGGCTACACAAGGTACACATCAGCTTCCCCAGGGCTCCAGTAAACAGGAACCAATTAATAATATAATCATGGGTACCATTCCTGGGTGTGAGAGCCTCAGTACTGAGTGAGTAACCAAGGATGGTGCACGCAGCATGAGCTAACAGCACTGCTGTTCAGCTTGTGACTACAGCATCACCTAAAAATGTCAAAATATACACAGTATGTAACTGGTATTATTTAGCCATGATAGTATTACAGAAGAGCCTGACTGTGATAGAGACATCTGAACAATGTTCAAATATCAGTGAACACAATGCTGTTCAAGATGTTCACAGTGCTAGCCACAGCACATTGCCATTGTTTGGTCCAGCTAAGAATCTTGAAATGACTTCTCATGTTCCTTTACAAAATAAACTTGTGGAAAATTATTCATTTACAGAAATTAGTGAGCAGGATTCTGATAAGCAGCAGCATTGTAGTGAGAAATAGCAATGTGCATAGTATGGTGGCATCATCAGCTGTGTATGGCAGCAGCTATATTGCTTGGACTCGCCATACCAGTTTAGTGGTTTGTTACGGTAAACAAAACGTGTAGGTAGTTACATATAACATGAGTACACAGAGTAATGACAGCAAAAACACCATGTTGGGAGGAGGATTCTTGTTAAGTGAGGTGTCGTCGTCTGCTGGCTGGTGTGAGAGACTCGTGCAGTGTAATTACCTCTGTGTAGTTACGGGATGAGAGCTACACTCAGAGTCCTGTCTTCCCAGCACTCTGTCATATAATGATTTAAAATTACTGACCGTTTTGGCCTCCACCACCACCTCACCAAACTTGTTCCAACCGTCTACCATTCTGCTTTTGAAAGTGAATTTTCTTATATTTCTTCGGCAGTTTTGTTTAGTTTAAATCTCTGATCTCTTATTCTTGAAGTTCCAGATCTCAGGAATACTTCCCTATCAATATTATCGATTCCTGTTACTGTTTTGTACGTAGTGATCATATTGCCTCTTTTTTTTCTATCTTCTAGTTTTAGCATATATAATGCCTCTAACCTCTCCTCATAGCTCTTGTCCATGTATGTTCTCAGTGTATGATGGCCCCTATGCTGATTGGGCACCATACCAGCTTAGTGGTATGTTATGGTGAACAAAACATGTGAATAATGTATATAACATATGCGTATAGCATAATAGCCAAAATATTCTTTGGTTTTGTGACTAATAATTGGATCACTAATATGCTCACCATATTTTTTGAGTATAGCAATGGTTCACACATTTTATTATATAAATATATCACACTACACCATTGAATAATATTACTGCAGAAAACCAGAGTAAAAAATCAATCACACACATTGAAATAATTAGGTAATATTTTTGTGGCAATTCCCGCCCGCTGACTCTAGTGGAGACCGGCCCCGGACGTGTACTCTTTCAGCACTTATCTTGCCAGACTTCCTTGCCCTATTACGGCCAAAATACGTTACCTACAAACCCCCCCCCCCCCTGTGATCAGGGAACATATTTTAACAATCTTAAAAGAAATAAAAAATATTTTTAAGCTGTCAGCTATTAACCCCTGCACTGCGCAAATTTTAAAATTATATTCTTGTGGTGCGCTGAAAATAAATTGTTCCAAAAAGTTTTTTTTTTTTTTTTTTTAATCGTTAATTAGCACTAAGGAAACACAAAAATCCAAGTAAAAAGTAAAAGTCTCTACTTCTTGTAATTTAGCTGAAGTGGCCTGAACTAGTTGCATTTTTTGGGTACAAAATGAGGCGAGTTGCCACATGGGAATAACTATTTATTTTCAATTTTTTCACTTTATTTATTTAGTTTTTTTGCTCTAACAAGTTGTATCTGTGTGAAAGATGGTGTTCATTATGAATAACTTTGAAAATATTAGTATGTACAGATATATACTGTATGTGCATAAATATATGCACACCATGTATTTATTCATTATATATATATATATATATATATATATATATATATATATATATATATATATATATATATATATATATATATATATATATATATATATATATATATATATATATATATATATATATATATATATATATATATATATATATATATATATATATATATATATATATATATATATATATATATCTAATATATATCTATATATATATATATATTATAAAGGTTAAATCTTATAATTGGACATAGCAGCACACATTTTGCTTGAAATATAATGGTAAACACTCACTTGCTGCTGTTAAACTTTCCGTGGCTCATAGTATGGCTGCCTTACATGTTCAATATGTCAGCTGGTGCAGTGCAAGGGTTAAATGTCCTATGCATTATGTACTTAATTAAATGCATTATGTACTTAATTAAATACAGTATGTACTGGTACTTTATTAAATGCACTATGTACTTTATTCAATACACTATGTACTTTATTCAATACACCTAACTTCATTTAATGCATTATAAACCTTATTAAATGCACTATGTACTTTATTAAATGCACTATGTACTTTATTAAATATTGGAAATGTCCAATGTAATTTATTGAATACGCTACACACTATGTACAGTACTTTACTAAATATGCTACACGCTATATACTTTACTAAATACGCTATGCACTATGTACTTTATTAAATATGCTAGGCACTATGTACTTTAAATATGCTACACTCTATATACATTACTAACTCCACTACGAACTATGTACTTTATTAAATACGCTACACACTACGTACTTTTTCTTTAAATACCTGTACACTAAAAGAAAAAAAAATCCTGATACTGCTAATTATACCGGTTGTGCATCATCCACTTTGCAAACATTTATCAATTTGATTTACACCTTAAAGATACCCATCCAGACCCCTATATCCATTACTAATTACTTAAAACAATTTGTCACCTTACCCGGACCATTGGTGCCTGAGGGGTTCGAGGGAGAATAGAAAGCACACCATTAAAATCAGATCAATCTTTTACAAGTATGTTCAGGTTAAGATTTGTTGTGTAATAAATCTGAAAATAATAAACTATAGACAAAATATGCATTGCACACGATACAAATTAGAAGAATTGCCAAAATATGTAAAAATGTAATATATATACTGTATATTTTGTTTTTTATGTTTACACTGGCCATTTAAGATTATACATAATGAACATTTTACTATTGTAAGATCATAATTATTTTACAGCACTGTATACCCAGATATATACATATTTACAATTAGAAATAAATACTGCATACAGTTATTAATAATACTTACCTGTATAATGTGTATGTAAAGATTAATTTTTAGTAAACTTAGTGGATGGTGTTATAATTTAGTGTTCTCTCCCAGATACGTTAAGGAGTTGGGATGGGCTTGCAAGGAACTTGCAGCTGTTCTTTCTATATACTAAGTAAGTATTCAGATTATCTGTAACCTATGATGTACAGGTAGTGTAAATACCCGAGACCAGATTCACAAAGCAGTTACGCAAGCACTTGTGAACATGTGCATCTTTCCTCATCTTTGACAGCTTTGGTTACATTTATTCAACAGTTTACAAGCATGAAAACTTCCCAATCAATTGTTGTTATTGTTATAAACAGCCTCCTGGTGCTTCGGAGCTCATTAACTGTTTAATAATTGTAAGCAAAGCCGCCAAAGATTGATTGTACAGGTTCATAGGTGCTTGCGTAACTGCTTCGTGAATCTGGCCCCTGGCTTCCTTGGGTGTTTACCTATCCTTATCTAATGGGGTAGCGAGAAATTGACACTGTGTGCCTTGGGTAACTCATTCTGTCAATTTTTTTTTATTAATTCCCCCTTTTTTTTTATCACATTCACTGTAGAAGCATTTTTTTCCCCTCTCTGGCTCATATGTTCCCAGCTCCCACCCATGTGCTTTTGTTCTATTTACTCTTAATTTGAAAAGGCTGTCCTTGTCTTCCTTGTTTATTCCTATCTTTGTTACTTTGCACATAAAGAGGTTGAAATCTAGCATTCATTTGTCAGCCCACTCCTGCTAAAGTGGGCTGACAAATGGAAATGAATGTAAAGTTCCTAAATTTTTATATAGACCTCTACAGTCTTCCTCAGTTTTTTCTCTATTAGTTTTTCACTGTCTGCAAACATTAACATGCAGGAACTCCGCCTTACTGTAAGTCGTTAACATGGATCAAGAATAGGATAGAGACTTGAGGAGCCGATTGCGATCTCTCCACGAGAAAATCCGTAAGAGCCGTGTTGAGGATTCTAATGTATGCGGTGGGTAGTCTCACACACACGCCCCAGACAATCAGGCCACGACATGGTTAAAAGGATTGTAACCTGGAGTTCTACTGAACAAACAAGGGTTTCACTCTCTCCAATCCTCAAGCTCATTTTTAATAGCTTATATCTCTGATTATTAGGTATATGCACCCCAGTTTGGCATCTAGGAAGATGTAATCTACCAGCCTCTTTTCTCCTGAACAACTTTGTAACCTACTAACAGAACTCCAGTATCAAGTTTGCTATTCAAAGTTTTTTCCCTTTAAATTCACATCTTTATTTAATTCCACTTAATTTAAATTGTCCATTATGAGTTTTATCCTCTGTAGATGTTTTATCTTATGTTCCATCATTTGTTCCTTTATTATTTTCTCTAGTACCTTCCATGAGATACATGTAAGCAAAACCAGCCTATAGTTGAGGTTTTCCTGTATGTATACTTTATTACTGTGTTACATTTGCTTCCATCTGATTTCCAAGAGTGCATATCTGCAGCACTGTTCAGTTTCAGACTGTGACAAGACTAGTTTCCCTCTTCATTTACTCCTCACATAATGAAGAGGCAACTTTTCACATGTGAAATATTCCCTAAACCTTTATTTAGAGAATCGTCCACATCCAGAGGTTTGGCCATTATATTAACTGTTATCTTGGGCATCATACCTCTTGAGCATAAAACAAGATAATAAAGTGTCCAAATCTTCATGCTTGAAATAATCACCAAATTATTCGTAAGTTTCAAAATTATTATGAAGGGACATGGTAATCCCTCCCCCCCCCCTACCACAACACTACTCCTGACCGAGTCAGGTTTCCAGTCTATTAGAAGCAACATGCCCCACGCCAATATCAATCAAGCAATTTGACCAAGTGGAACAATTCCAGACTCGTCGAAGCACTACCATCCTAATTGGACATCCCTGAGTGTCTGCTCATCGTGGCCAAAACACACATTCTCCCACTTGAAACTTAAAAATATGGAACAAGTTTCCTGCTATTTATTGCCCTGGAATTACACGTGTCATATTTCTCACTTTATTTTATGAAACGGTTTTGATGGCTTCATATAACTGAGGGAGGTTATCGTGAGGTTATCTTGAGATAATTTCGGGGCTTTTTAGTGTCCCCACGGCCCGGTCCTCGACCAAGCCTCCTCCCCCAGGAAGCAGCCCGTGACAGCTGACTAACACCCATGTACCTATTTTACTGCTAGGTAACAGGGGCATAGGGTGAAAAACTCTGCCCATTGTTTCTCGCCGGCGCCTGGGATCGAACCCAGGATCACAAGTCGAGCGTGTTGTCCGCTCGGCTGACCGACTCCCAATTTTTTCTCCCAAGGCTCCCAAGAAAAGCCTTGTTAATGTGGCTTTACTGGAGAACTTGGCCAGCAGATGACCATGAAATCTCCCAGTTACCAACACCACCTTTGCAATATGATGCAAATTTGCAGTTACAGTATTTATAGCTCTGGGCAAAAAACCATAAATTCTTTATTTTGTGTACTTCAGTGTGTCTGAACTGCTAACACAGAAATAATCAATAGAGCACCTGTATGGGAGAAACTGAGGGTGGCTGTTACAGATGCTTCTCTCCAGTAACCCAATATTGTAATGTATTGTACTGGGACAAAATTTGTATATAGATGATGTCGAACTGGACAGGTTCTTCAAAAGGTCAGGTGTAACACGAACGAGGAGCAACAGGTTCAAGCTCAACAATCCACAATGTAGGACAGAAAACAGTAGATGCTTTTTCAACCATAGGGTTGTAAAACTGTGGAACCGCCTTCCCACCGAAGCTGTAAACGCCAAAACTCTGCTGGGTTTTAAAATATGGCTGGAAAAGATCAGGGTAAATGTGGGTACCTTTGATAAGCCGCCAGCTTCCTGTCCTCAAGGCCACTCGTATTAGTGGCCCTCGGGTAAATTCAGGTAAATTAAATGTTACTTAAACTCCTGTGTTAACTGGTATTCAGCAGTGTCAGTCAGCACTGGAGGATGCCACTACATATGCTTGCACAATTTTCAGTGATACAATCTTCCATTCTTGCAGTCATTCAACTTTTTCCACATCATTTATGGATGCTGACATTAGTATACATTGTATTCCTTCCATAATCCACTATTTGTGGTTAGATAGCTTAGATTGCCTTATGAAATAAGCCTAAGTAAGTACACTACATTTTTGTTACTTTTTGCGGCATTTCCAAAACTATCCAGTTAATGAGAATAAACCCCCATTAACATGATAAACCCAGTTAGCAGAAATGGAGAACTGGATATTTCTATGTCCATTTAATCCGAAAATCCAAAACCTGTAGACAGTAACATGGATTCTTCAGTCTCTGGAGGTGACAAATGTGAGTAGAGGGGGTTCAGCATACCAAATACACAAGTGTATAGTTGTGTCAGTACACAAATTACCACCAAACTAAAATGACTAAAGTAAAACCACCACTGGGCACATACCCCTCACAATCAATACAGAGGCTAACTTTTCAGTGACTAAGGAGGGTGGGGGGGGGGGGAGATCTAGGTCTCTCTGCCCCTGCTCCTAGCCGTTTATCCCTGCCGCCCTAATTACCTCTCTGCTAGTGACACGATGGAGCCTGTCCCTGATAACCTATTTATATATATACATATCTCTACAACACTGGTAGTGCTCATACTGCATCTTATGCTTTTAATGGGTAAATGGTAAATAAACTTATTAAACAGTAGTGAAAATAACTGAAATTGGAAAGTCCGTCAATTTCTCCAATTTACAATTTCTGTACAATAGTTTGGGCCAACAGCCTTTACTAGCCAAAACCTTTTACAAGCCAAACTGCCTTACAGGCCAATATGGTTCATCTTATGATTCCCCATAGATGGGGACAGGTGGCCTTATCGAGGTCCCCCCTAAGCCAATTACTGATCCTCTCTAGATGGAACCCAAAACAGCATCTTGTGTGTGTAATTTTAGTGTGTCCAGCATTTTCCAAGTACTATGCCATGAAAATCAAGGAAGGGCTTCCTATATTCAGATGAAATAAAGAATAAAACTACTATGCGTGTTCAAGATGAGAATTGATAAAGTACTAGCAACATGCCCCCTGTCTAAGATAGACATAAGATACTTTATATTCATGGCAAATTAAAGTTCACTTTAAATAATATTTTAAGTTAAATAAGATGCAGTTAAATGAAGCTAAATACATTGTATAATGAACTTAATTATAAACAGGCTACAAATCTAATACCCTGTCTGCACCACTGGTAGACCCAGCGGACATCTCTTCCTTCCTCTTTCTCTCTCAATCTGAGAGGAGGTCATTTCAGGCATGTTTCTTGAAATGACAATATTTAAATCATTAAAACATTAAAGCATGCTGGATATGAGAAATTAAAGAACAAAATGGTCAATAATCAATCTAAATGTAGCCTCAGGCAAGTGGTCGGCATTATAATAAATGCAATAAAGAAAAACCTCTTCTTAAATCTGTAAGTGTGCTAAAGAGGAAATAAGGTGTATGTGACCAAGCATAAGGATGTCTCAATAACAGGGAACAATAATACTGTTCCATCAAGTGACCCATTAGTTTCTTAACCTGTATATATACATATTTTTAGGCAAATTCTACCTCCAAACCCTGAAATGAAGACATTTCAAAGAAAGTTATATTGTTTTTCAATTATAAAATAAAATCTGTCATATTTTGGCTTACCTTTCCTGCATCAATCACTTTAGGAGGCTTCAACCTAGTCAGCATCCTGTAGGTTTCCAGGTTACGGGCAAAACTCCTTCCTCTCATCTGGACAGCCTGATCCCAGTTGCGATCCTAATGAAGAATTAAAAATATCAAATGAAAGTTCTCACATTTCTTAGTCATAAAAGCTTTATAGTATACAATTTTATAACACTGAATACATCTGAATACATCAATACAGATGGCAAACAAGTTCGTCATAGGACATCCACAGTAATACCCAAATTTAGAACTCAAAAGGACCATTAAATACCTAAAATTTATTTTTTGTAGTCGAATAGATGGAAAATGCATGCCAACACCAATACCTTTGTCAAAACTTTGTGTAACAAAGATAACAGTAAACACAAGACACCATGAGAATGAGGGAAGGGGACGTTCCATCAATGATGGATTTGATATTCACTAGGAAATTATGCAAATTAAGGGACCTAGTCTATGGAACTCACTCCCTAGTGAATTGAAAAGCTGTCAAACTTTTGCCTCATTTAAAAACAAAAACAAAAAGTACCTAATTTCATCTTAGTTTCCTACACTGAGCTTTAAATTTGCTCTGTACCTAGTGTTACCCAATCTCCCAATCTTTATATATTTAACCCAAACAACTTTATCATTGTGTTCATTGCTGTCTTCTTTTATGTGCTAGCCATATGCTGTATTGTGCCTACTAATTTTTGTTAAACTACCATTCAAGCTGTCATTGCAATCAATCTGAGCTATCTATGTGCTTTAATAGACCTACAATTTTTCTCTCTTTTTTTTTCTTGCTATGTAACTTATCATTTTTATAAATTTTGCAAGTATTTACCTACTTAAAATTTTCTTAGATTAAGGACCTACCCGAAATGCTGCACGTACTAGTGGCTTTACAAGATTGTAATTACTATCCTATGTATCCTCACAATCCCAATGTACCTTCTTGTATATAAATAAATAAATAAATAGGAAAGAAGATGCATTTGACATTTAGTACCTTCCTCCCTTGGGTAAAAGCAACCTTGTCCTTTTGGAAATAAAATATACAATGCATTATGACCTAGAAGAGAATAGGGAAAATGAAACTGACAAATTTTCAGGAGAGGACAATACGGGGACCTTTACAAAGTCCTTTAATGAGTTTGATAGGAAAGATTTATTGCTAAGCAAAGAAAGAATATGTCAAATTTTGTGAGATGTATGAAGAAGGTACAATAAAATGTATACCAAGACCAAGATGCAGAACTGGACACCAGGATTGGTTCAACAGAAATTTGAGAGAAAAAACTTGTAATAGGATGTGGCCTATCTTGAGGTTATCTTGAGATGATTTCGAGGCTTTAGTGTCCCCGCGGCCCGGTCCTCGACCAGGCCTCCACCCCCAGGAAGCAGCCCGTGACAGCTGACTAACACCCAGGTACCTATTTTACTGCTAGGTAACAGGAGCATAGGGTGAAAGAAACTTTGCCCATTGTTTCTCGCCGGTGCCTGGGATCGAACCCAGGACCACAGGATCACAAGTCCAGTGTGCTGTCCGCTCGGCCGACCGGCTCCCTAAAGCCTAACCCTAAAACCTATCAACAATACAAACAAACAACTTACACTGCAGTAATAAGGTGCAAAACTGAGAAAGGGATTACAGGTAAGTGTAAAAACAGAACCAGGCCTATCTTAGAAATTCCTCAGAAGCAAATTGCATGTAAAAAATAAAATCCATAGGTTGAAAATGGGAAGTAGATTCACAGAGAATGAAAATTAAATGTGTGAAACACTGAACGAACATTGTATTTATATTTTGTAAAGTGCATTTGAGCAAAATGAAGTCTTCAGAGCCAGACAATATGAATGTCAGAGAATACCACAAAATACATAGAGGTGTATCGAGACGAAATGGGGAAAACGATCAAGGAGTTAGGTAGAAACAAGGCAGTGGGCCCAGACAGTCTCTCACCTTGGATTCTAAGAGTGTGCATACGAGCTCAGCATTCCACTTCAATTGACTTTTAAGTCATTTTTGTGAACAGGTCAGAAGATATAATAAAACCTCAGTTTTCGTATGCCCCCGTTTTTTTATTTTTCGGTACTAACTCAATTCCTTCAAAAAATTTGATTTGGTACTCATTGTTTGCCTCAGTTTTCAGAGTTTGTTTATACACGTACAAGTCCACCGAGTATGTGGCGCTTCAGTTTACCAGTGTCTCTTGCCAAGTGATGATTGCACTTTAATTCTTTGTGAAGAATTTCATCGTTTTTGTGCTTTTTTGGTTTCTGAACATAAAAGTTCTTATATATCACCCCATGGGTTCCAAGAAAGTCAGTGGTAATGTTCAACCTAAGAAAATAGTTGAGAGGATAGAGGAAAACAAGAGATCGTTCATAGTGGAAGTGTGATGTCTCATTAAACAAGTGTTAAAACATAGGGAAAACAATTGGCTATAGACAAATTCTTAGTAAGACAAGCAAGCAGTGAGCCACAACCAGGTCCAAGTGGTATGCCTGCAAAATGTAAGAAAGAGTACCCTAGAAATGTCATAACTGCTGTTATAATGGAAGGGGGACTCCTCTTCCAAATACTAACACCTCTGAACAAATCCACAAGGGCCGTGATGAGGGTTCGAGCCCGGGTGCATGGGGGAATTGTGTAAAACCACGGTTTGTGTCTCAAGAGAGGCTGCAGGATCTGTGTGAGAGCAGTAACACTCCCGGTTGCAATTCTTTTATCATGTCTTGGCGCACGCAATGAACTAAGGTGCATCTGGGATCATCCTGGATGCAAGTTCGAACCCTCATCACGGCCCTTGTGGATTTGTTCATTTGATGTATCACGCTACTGTGATTTCTGTGTGTACTAACACCTCTCCTCCCCTTCCTCACTGTCTTCCATACACCAACAAGAGTCCTCAATAAAGGTAAAGTACCCAAGAGTATTATTAAGAATAAAATGTATTTTTTAGTTAATATATTTGGGGGTGTGGAACAGATTAATTCAATTTACATTATTTATTATGGGAAAATTCGTTTTGCTTTTTGAACTTTCAGTTTTCGTACCGTCTCTGGGAATGGATTAAATGAAAAAACTGAGGTACCATTGTATATAGAAAAAGGCAAACAGTTCCAGTCTACACAAATAATAGCAGGGAAGACCCTCTTAACTACAGACCTGAATCACTGACCAGCATTGTAGTAAAAACATTAGAAAAAATAATTTCAATCAAATGTGCAGAACACCTGGAGAAAAATTATATAACAGTATTGTTTTTGATCAGGTAGATCCTGTGTAACAAATCTACTCAAGTTTCTATGATAGAGCCATAGAAATTTTACAGGAAAGATGGTTGGGTTGACTGCATTTATCTGGACCTAATAAAGGGCTTCTGACAGTCCCACGTAAGAGACTGTTCTGGAAACTCCAACATACTGGAAGGTGACAGGGAGGCCTCTGACATGGATGACAAATTTTCTGACAAAAAAATTAAGCCAGTAATCCAAGTTAATGTATCAAACTGGAGAAGTGTTACTAGTGGCGTACCACAGGGAATTCAGTTCTAGCACCAGTAATGCTCATTGTCTATATAAATGATCTACCAGAAGGAATACAAAATTATATCAACCTTTTATCAATACTTCTACACGTTTGTTGTTGATGTCACACTTCTATGGAAGGTAAGAATCTTAAATATGCAACTGTCATGCCCTACAAGACCTGGACAAAAGTGTATGGAATAACACTTTGCAAATGAAATTTAAATGAAAAAACTAGCGTTGAATGTAATGAAACGCCATTTTCTGCATGAGATCCAGAGACTCCCTGAACCTATCCAGGCTGAAAGGCTAATGTCAGACTTGGGCATCAGTCATGTGTATGGAGTTCTGTGGGCCTACCGGGGACCACGAGCCAGAACCTGGACCCCTCAGAGGCATGGAGAGCAATGGCCTATAGAAACCCCCGTGTGGTTGGAAACATTTTATGTCTGCCATCGACCGGGCCAGGCACACAGAAACATAAGCCTCTCAAAACAAGCCCATATTCTGGTGAAAATTGCGATGAAAGGCTGAACAAGTGTACTGAACTTCCCAAACAGAAACGGGCAAATGAGTGACGTCACACGTCGCCGCGCCGCTGTCTGTGCAGCTCCCCCGTGCCGGCAATCCAGCTCAGTTCGAAGGCTGGACATCAAAACACACAAAAAACCCTCCCTCCTGGGGGATGGAGAGTTGCCAGGGAGCCTCCAGGTCTCACCCAGGAAATGGCATTTCATTACATTCGATGCTGGTTTTCTGGGGGGGAGCCCTGTCGGCTCCTTGGAGGCGGGAGTCACACACACTCCAACGCGAAGCCGAGACTAAACAAACTGCCAACCTAAGGCCACACAGGCCCGACAAGGCCCAGGAACATTAACGAAGGAACGCAGAGCCATCCAACGAACGACTTGGGCACGGGAACAGACAGCAGGCTGGCAGGACCAAACCATCCCGCGGACGACCCGAGAGAACCACACCCTGGAACAGGGAAGAAGGGGAACCCGAAACAACTTAAAGCACGACCCCGGTCACGGCAGCCGTGGCACGCCAAGCACGGTGAAGTGCCGCAACGGAACACACAACACACCATGTACCCCTGGCCAGACCAACCAAGCATCAAACAACCCAAGGACCCCTCCGGAAAGCAGCCGTACCAGTCTTTGCCAAAAAAGGAGACAGCTGCAAGCGAACAAACCTATCAGAAGAACCAAAAGTGTTTAAGCCCAGGCGCCGGAGAAGGGCATGAAGTACTCCGACCCAACCCCCAGAGGCCAACTCCAACAAGAAAAGAGCCTCGGAAAACAACTCAGAACTGAAGGTGCCACAACAAACCGACGAGAGAAAAAGAGCACGCAATCCAAGAACCAGGACGGCTCAAGCTGCGCAAGAGCAGGCCGGAGGTGAACCACATCAGACAGAGCTCGCGAAGGGGTGCAGAGGCAACTCCAAAACTGAAGCAACCCGGAGTGGCTCTGCCAGCACCACACGAGACAAGGCTACAGTATGTGGCAAGATGACAGCCCTGAACCTCCACAAGAGAAGGACAAGACCATACCAAGAAAACGTAACAAACC